GTGTGTGTGTGTGTGTGTGTGTGTGTGTGTGTGTGTGTGTGTGTGTGTGTGCACATGTGAGTGGGCATACAGGAGCAGGCGAGCGTGACAACAACTCTGTTGGAGGAAAAATTGAAATATCAGCTTGTGGCAGCAGGAGGGTCACCCCCCCCCCCCCACACACACACACACACACTCAACTTTCTTCTTCTTTTTGAGAATGTCATGGTCTCCACCCTATAACCCCTCCCCAAATCTGACATCTGACAGCAACACATCTGTTATGTTGAGTTATGGGTTTGGAGTTATCGAAAGCTATCAGATCATCACTTCTGATCAGATGAACCAAACTCTGTACAAAATAAAAATAAAAAAAAAACTCATGTGCCAGTTTTTTTCTCTTTGAACTGCAAGGGGGGTGGGTGGTACTTTACACTTGTTTTTCACAACCTCCTATATAACCATGAAATGTGTAAAATAGCCACACCTGACACTCTGCGAATTGATCCATGCTTGAAAATGCAACATTCCCCCGCTGTCTCCCTTATTCATCAACTGCCTTTGATGAGAGCTGACTGCAGGTCAGAATTTATGATGCCACTATATCATTGCTGCACAGAAGGCAGATTGTTTAATTAAACATGGAATGGGGACGATTATAAAAAAATAGAAGACCCCTCAGTTGAGTATATTTCTCCCCTTCACACTATCTGCTCCTACATCCGACAGAAGTTTTGAGAACATTTTAAGCGGGGTCTCGCCTGAATGATTCTCTTTAGTCTGCGGCCTAACACGGTGCAACCCCCACCAACTCCTCTGGTTCCAGTGCTGTTCGGGGGAGTTAATGGAACAGATTTCTAAAGATTTATTGAGGGGGGCGTTTAATGACCTGATCGGTTTCATCGTGTGAAAACAAATGATGCTGTAAAACCTTAAGGTTGACTTAAAAGGAGCTCAGTTTGACTAAACGAGAGGAGGGGAAAAAAGAAAGAAGAGTATTTGTTCTAACTTTTGATACGCCTTTTTGCAACATACTCAACTTTTGACAGTGTTCCAGACTTTTACCTATTTCTTAACTTAAATTTGCAACACTGAAATAAACGTTAAACAAAGAAGGTTTACTACAAAACCTGAGAAAAGGTGGGTAAATAGTTGTCGAAGCTGCAGAGAGACAATGATCCAGCTCATTTTACACAGGCTGCTCCACTGTCTCATCTATCCCAGCTCACTTCACACTTTCCGGTCATTTCTTCTCCACTTCACTGTTACACCTGTCTCTTATTCATCTCTAAAAGCCTGTGCAGACAACCGTGTAAAAAAAAAAGTCAGCAAAATAAGAAAGACATCAATCAAGTTTGATAATAAAGATGCAGAGTTCCTTTTATTACCTTTTGCTTTAATGGGTTAATAACAAAAAAAAGTCAGGTAAAAGAAAAGTAATTTGCTGCACAGGTGTCGAAACATTTTTTTGACAGTGGTTTTAAATTAAAATAAGAGAGAGAAACTCATTGAAAAATAAGTGACAAGACCCAATGCTTTTAGTTTTTCTTTTTTTTTTTTCGGAAAACACAAAAGCTTATACTTCAATAAAACATTGCAAACAATCAATACGACAGTTTGTTGAACTGGTTTTTTAAACATTGCTGCAAAAATAAACTCTTCAAGAGCAATAAAAAAAATGTGCAGACTGTGCTTTGGATCTGGAGTTCTGTTTACATATGGCTTCCTGGATATTAAAAAATAAACAGTGAGGAGAGTTTTGTTTATTCCTAAGGCAACAATATCCAAAATGGGGGACAAAAAAACAACAAAAAACAAAAAACGATCGCAGCTGGAAAAGGACATGATAGGAGAAGCCATATCTTGAAACGAAACTCATCAAATTTCAAATAATAAGCCAACTTCTTTGCTGAAACCTGGAGAGATCAAAATCAAATTAAAAGCAAATTAGGCCCGTGATCATCAGCCACACTTGTCTCATTACAGCAGAAAGATAATCCACAAATGCCTTAAACCACAGATACAGAGACTGGAAGAAGAAGCAGGCTTTCACGGTGAGCAAGTTTTACAATGCTGGGGAAAAAAAAGAAAAGAAAAAACAGTTAAGTATTTCAGAATGTGTCTAAGGTATCATAAGATTCAGTAACCAGTTTAAGTTTTTCTTTTTTTTTTTTACTAATGTCACGACACATTAGAAATGTATTCCGTTAAGCCTTGAGCGGTTTATAAAAACGACTGGATTTATGGAAAAAAAAATCATTATGTTTGTGTCAGTCAGATTATGTGAGCTGAGCAGGAAGCTGACTGTGACACTTTCAAGTACACAAAAAGAGTACTTTGGGGAAAAGAGAAATAAAAGAAGATATGTTACAATTCTTCAGCATCCAAGGAAATATAATTCTGGCTTAGAATATTATTGAAATCTTGGATTTCCTGACATGTGTAAAGCGATATATTGGGGTTTTATGAGTGTTGTGGGTTGACTTTTGGCTCCTGTTAAAATGAGATATCCCTCAAACTTATTTCGATGCTTTAAATGATTTTTCAAATATTCTTGCTGTCCTGAGTTTTCCATATTCAGAGCAGGTGTGTTTGTTTTATTTGTTTTATCACATCCAATCAACCACAGACATCAATTTTAAGGATAGCACAAGAAAGAAAAAAACTCTACAAACTTTTCAAAATAAACCCATAGTCAAAAGTAAACACTCACTTGCTTTGTCAGGTTTTAAAAGTGAGAAATACGGAGGTTTGATATGATACACTGCTTTCAAATGTTAAGGAACTGACTGAGAAAAATCAGGTTTAAAAGCTAAATGGAGTGCACAGGGTGGATTATAAAACCGTAGTAATAAGTTTCTTTGTTAAAAAATAAATATGCTAGTTGTGGAGAGGGGGGTAAATAATAACATACTTATTAGCCAGGCTGAAATGATACTGAATTTTAGCAGCATAAACCAGATAAGCTAATTTCAGTAATGTGATTTTTAGAACCAGGAGAAACGGGGACAACGAGTGTGGGGAGACTGAGCAATGTGTAGACTGGAGGGCAGGCGGGGCATTAGCTCACTTCAGGCTGATGTCAGGACAATTAGAGGTGCACCACAGTGCATTGTGCACAGTGCTGTCAGCCTTAATCTCTGCTGCTGTGCCTCGTACCTACAGCCAGGCCACAGCCCACGGGAAGCGCCAACACTCAGGCTCATATTGCTTTGACAGCTGCACTCAGCTAGAAGTAATGCAAAACGGTATTGTGATGTATACACGGCGACCCTGTACTCTTGTCTTTAACAACACAGAGCTGGTGTGAGTGCAGAGCCGGGGAAGGCTCGAGGGGAGAACTGACACTGAAGGAAATGAGACAGGAAGGAAAACTGGTGGGACATTACAGGAAAAGAGGGGTGAAAAAAAAGAAAGTAAAGAGGACACTTCCTGCACTGCCACTTCTAATCCCGCCTCAAAAAAAATAAATCTTTTGCTTGTTGTCAGGGTTGACGGGTTTTCTACAAATCTTGGTGTTTGTTTCTGAAGGAGCTGCTGCGTGTGGTGACAGTTTTGGCGTTTTCCTCCGCCTCCTCTTCTTCTTTTGCCTTCAGGGCCTCGGTGAAGAACCTGAAGATGGATTCAAAACTCATCCAGGAAGTCAGCTCGTGCCTCTCTGTGCCTGCAGATGAAGACACACAAACACGTAGATATTTACTTACTGTAACACTACAGGCAAACAACAGCAAGCAGGATATTCTAACAATTAGACATCTAATGCTGGAAAGTGTACACCTACTCTGGAAGCAGGATAAACAAATAAAACCAAACGCTATTGGATACGATGGCCGCTCAGAACTCTCAGTGAACTGCTTTACTCGATGCAAACTGAAGGCCTTATTCGTGAGAGCCATGGCAGCCTCTGACCTGTTAGTCCAGCGGGACGGCTTTAATATGTTATCCAAGCAGATACCCGATAATCAACACCACCGCACGTTCAAGGAGATGGAAAAAGGTCGTTCCAACAAAACCAGAGATATGCACAATGGGCTCACTAAGTGAAACCAGTGAAGCGGGAGTCATTCATTCAAAAAAGACGAACCGAGGAAAGGCAAGACAGAGGCGGGAGCGACGCAACTAGCCAACATATCAGGTGGTCCGCCTGTTGTGGAAGAGGGGGAGGCAACAGTGCTGGGTTTCCTTCTGACCTCCTTCAGGTTAGCAAGCTCCCAAGTTGGGGTCACGCTGAAATTTGAAATCTGGTACATGTGCCTCGGGTTTCTTAGGGTTAGGGTATCATAGACCAGATATTTAGTTAGATAGCCGGTAAACTCAGTGGCATCTCATCCTACCTCACAACAACTTGGTCCTGCGTTGGAGCGATGAGCGCAGGCTATTTTAGTTCATAGTTTTCAGCCTATATACAGTGCTAATAGAAGGTCATGTTTCTGCTGCAACCGGCTAGCCACCAAGAAACAAACTAGACCTGAAAAGCCAAACTGAGGTGATCTTATGTTCTTATGTTGTGAGATAAGGTTTGCTGTGAGATGTTCAAAGTTTCAACCCTTACTAGGGTAAGGCATCTTTTCACTGAAATAAGCTAGATAATTACCAAACTGTAATACTTTGTTTTCTCTTTTGAATTATTATTTTCAGTCATAAAAATTCCTTTGCTACAACATGTGTTTGAATAGTAGAACCTGACAAATATAAACAATAACAAAAAAATGAAGCAAGATGGTCAACAATCAATGAGAATCAAAACAGTGGAAAACAGACATATATTTAGTTGTTCTTCCATTATTTCAGCTTTTTTTGTGCACCCTATATCTGCTATAAAAAGCTAGACTGAAAGACTTCAAGGATACAATTAGAGAGCACCTTAAAGGTTCTCTCACTATAGACAGGCCTCAGATGACCGTTGCACTGACCTCCTGTTTATTAGATTGAACCCTGCTTGGACGCATTAATGGAGATGGTGTGTGTGTGTGTGTGTGTGTGTGTGTGTAAGTAAGACCAGGAGCAGGTGTAAGGTTCTGGGCAGAGAGTGAATTTGGGTTCAGTTTCTGCGGGTGCGTTTTGTGTTTGTGCAAATTGTGTGCACAAGCATCTACGGGGGCGGGGGGGGGGGGGGGGGGTGTCTTGATCTTTCTGAGACAAGGGACTGCACAGCGAGTCAATGCCTAGGGTCAATTTTACTGGCCCTGCAATCATGGTAGTCAATAACTCAGCTCTCTCAGTGACTCTACCTGTGTAGGGCTCAACCTTGGAAAACAAAGACACAGCCTTCTCACCCCTCCAATCTATCATTTATATCCAATTTGAGGCCATGTGATCGTTTTGTTTTCTTTCTCCACTCTTGTTGGGATCTCCCTCAACGTTCTTACTTTTTCCTTTCTTTTCTTTTTTTCTTCCAGCAGATCAATGCAGCAGCGCTCACTTGTTCACCATGAACTGGCGGTGAACTCCCCCGGCATGCCGCCAGCCTCTCCTGTCCCGGCGCATTCGAGGGTCACCACGAGGGTGTTTCTGCGCCAATATGCAGACGAGCTACTGCCCCTCTGATGACTCCAACGTTAAGCTCCACCTATCCCTACAGGGTGGAGGCTTTGATACGAAGTCTTCTCCCTCTCACACAGATGTAAAGCTGCTCTTGTACAAACTTAAACAGGCCTTTAACAACTTATGTCCTCTCTTACGTTAATGAATGAAGTGTGCTCAGGCAAATGGATGTTATCAAAGCCAAAGATGGGCACTGATTTAGATTTAATGTCCAGAGAAAGAGAAAGAATGAGACGAAGATGTCAGCCATGCTACAAATCAAAATAATGGCTCAGTGAGGTATTATCTAACTGTATTTTGTGTGTGAATAAAAAAACATGAATAGCCCCAAAAGGACTATTTTTTTAGCCGCTGAAAGATTTTTCTTTAGTCTGAAAGCCGATTCTATTATAGACATTTTAATGAATGTTTTATCAAAATATGATTTGATAAGCAAAGCTTTGTATTATTTAACTACAGCTTTCATCCTATAAATCATCAATAAACCTTGTATCATGTGCATTTATGTGTTTTCTTTCATTGATTATGACATAATAAACATGTATACGATAGTTTCAACAGACTTATTGGAATTAAATAAAAACACAGACATGAATCTTTGATAATTGACAAGTGAGGCAGTACATTCACAGCTGTATGAACATGCTTGACTGTAAGGCAGAAACTATCTGGTAAATTAAAAAATATATATATTTTCATTGGAGGGATCCCTTATCTGCTTCCTGTAGAGGTCATGACCGATTTAATAGAAGGGCCTGACTAGCTGCCTGTGTTTGACCATTTGTTGTCTGAGCTCAGTGAGTCTGCCTCATTATGTGACAGACAGAGAGGAGTATTTGATCGTGGGTATTTAGCCTCCTCCTCTCTGCCACAGCCACTGGAGCCCTCTCTGGGTAATTGATTGACTGTTTGATCTTCCTCTGACTCTGCAATACAATATTATGATCACACAGATACACAAACACACAGACTGAACACTCTTATTTCCATTGTCACTCACACCAAACACACACGCACACACTGAGGTATGATCACTTGTGTGCGGCGAAGTAAAAGGAACAGAGGAGCAGAGTTTTGAGCTGGAAACAAGAAAACTCCTGCATAGCTAAGGGCCATGCTTTCTTCCCTCTGCACCAAATGCTGCATGCTGTTACAAATGGTAATCGGCTGTGATTGTCACAAATTTCAAAACAAACGCTAGGTGACTGAAAAGCCAAAGTGACGCCCCGAGTGATACTCCGACAGGAACTGCAAATCAAAGCATGCCGACTATAATTAGGTTCCATCTGGGCTACATTATTTAAAGCCGCACCAGTTAATTGCTTGTGTACAAATGGCCTATTTTATTTGAATCAAATTCTTTTTTGTTCATAATTACACTGATGTGAAGGGGGGCATATCTCTTTGCTTCAGTTATAATAATAAATACATATTCAAATTAAGAGCACTTTGAGGCAAGGGGAATGTAAATTGATGATACTTTTCTTTGTGTGAACTGGATTTCTTTAAACAAATATGAGTGCTTCAAAAAACTGCTGACATTTGGGTTAAATATTTAAAGAACTTCAATTAAAAAAAGAAGATCAACATTGATATAATCAAGCAGCAAAAAAAATATAAAAATAATAAAAAATATAATAATAAGAAAAGAAAGAAATTACAAAAAAACGAACTCCTGACAGGCCTAATATTCAACCAGGATACTAATATGTTTCTGCAGACAAAAAACCCCCAACATTTTCTCATTTCCTTTTTTTCTCAGAAATTTCATTTAAAAAATGAAGCATACAAACAAAAGATTACTTTATCAATTTCCTATCAAATGTAACCTAAGCTTTTGTTTTATCTCAATGTGAGGCGGAGCACGGTGGTGCAGGCCTTGGCTGGCTGTAACCTTAGATGAGCTGCTGTTTGTAGAAGCTATCTGTTGCATGCATCGACGGGGGGAGAATCGCTGTCTCTATCCTGGTTGTCAGATGATCAGATTTCCGCCCCTGACACTCTCCGATATTAGATGATCTTCTGTGGTGTTGGGGATGTTGCGGGGTCTGTTGCGCTGTGTGTGCTCTTAGCTTCCAGACGTATAGTTGTCCCTAAGCAATGCGCACGCATGTGCAGTCAGTGGTGTGCATTGTCACTTCGCTTGCAGACATGCGTAAAGGTCAAGGATGTCATTTAGTCCCACACGGCTGTCTGTTGAGGCGAGCAGGATGTGTTGCCACTAAAGACAAGGTCAAAGAGAGCTAAGGCAGGTGACAGGTGGTCAGCTACACCGACAGAGCGGAACGTGACCGTGTCATCCTCAGTCCAAAAATATATATATAATTAACTCCGTCCACTAATCTTCAATCTGCACTCAGGGAGACAATGTTCCCATCAAAGCCAGAGGAAAACAAACCTATCAGACTTGGACTATGCTAAATTATCTGTGCTCCTTTATAATAAACTCAAGCCTTCACAGGTTTCCTACTTTACTAAAACAGGAGGGACACAAATGAATCCAATAGGGGGAAAAAAAGCTTATTTGATCAAACCATTTTCACCACTGCTGCCTCTTGAATGTTAAATTTATTTTTTTGTTTGTTTAAGTGGGGTCTGCCCCCMCCCCCACCCCCACCACCACCATCCCCACTTCCACTCACATTCCTGTCATCCTGCTTTTAATTGCTTTGCTTATTATTGTGTGTTGTTGTTCGACAAAAACAAGGCAGAACTCATTACACATCCAGAGATGAGGAACCTGAGGGGGATGATGAGGGAATTCCGTATTTACTAAGAAAGAAAAAAAAGAGACACATAAAATCAATTGAGAAGCCAGACAGAATATCACAATAACTGGTTGGAATAATCACACAACAGAAGCTAGTTCACATTCAGTATAGTGGTCCGTGGAGAGGGGGAACTTGTGACGAGAAGGACTTTGCACAAAACATGCTTTATGTATTTCTGCTTCTGTCTCATTAAGTTAAACACCTTCATCTATCCTTTATAACTTCTCCCCTCTTTAGCCAGACACTGAGACTGGACTGAGTGCTTTTTTATTTTAACAGGAAAGAGTGGCCTTGGCCGTCATAAAAGACACTTGCTTTTATAGACTTGGAGCGGGGTATTTACAAGATAACCCTGGTCCAAGGACTGCAAAGGCTATTTGATACTGGCGTCAGATGCTTCTCTTTCCTGTCCTGTAAAAACTGAAAGTCCAAACATGCCCTCCCCACCACAGGACCTCTCAATGTTACTTGTTTTACTCAGCTCTTATGAAAATGGCTGAGACAACTTTGTGTGGGATTTAACAAAGAAAGGTGCTGCACATTTCCTAATTGAAACTTTAGGAATTTAAATATGCATATAATATATTTATAAAAAATATTTAGGTTTTGTGTTGTAAAAAGTAATTATTTCTTTTCCGGATAAACTTATTCAATTAGGGCTGGTGAAATACATACAC